ACTTACCTGGCCAGCTCCCTCATGCTGAGACCCTTTCATATGACTCCAGATACCTGACCCTCCCTCCCCTCCCCTCCCTCTAATCCCTCCCTCCCAAGCTGGACTCCCGTGTCCCTCACCCCAGCTGCTCTCCTGCCGAGTGCTTCAGCCCCCAGGCTTCCTCTGGAACACCCCACTCTAATAACCCCACCAAGCCAATCCAGCTACCCACCTTTTCCACTCCTCTCACAATGTGACCCCTGAGGCCCACAGTCTCCAGCCCAAGAGAGGTGCTCCTCACAGAAACTGTCACACTGAGACAGTGTGGACCTGAGACTCTGGTCCATTCATGAGGCCTCTCACCCACAGGCCAGGACCCTGACTCCATCTCCACAGAGCAGGTCCTCCATCCACCTGGCCTCCCAGAATCCTTTCTTCCTCCCTTCTTCTCCCAGGTAGGCATCTCTTAATGGTACTTGGAAGCCTCCTCTCTCACCCAACCCAAACCAAAGCTTTGGGGGCTTTGCTCCTTGAGCTTCACCTCCCTTTCTCCATCAGTGGCTCTCTCTCAAACTATGAGAAACACTTTCAGGTATTTCCAGGAAAACAACAAAATCCCCACCCTCTCTCAACCCCAGGGCCTCCACCGGCTGCCATTCTTGCTCTCTGTCATCCCTTCACAGCTAATCTTTTTTTTTTTTTTTTACTCTCTCTTACCGTATAATACTCTCTCTTACAGTATAACACACATATGGGAAAGTGCCCAAATAAGTATACAGCTCAACAGATTTTTTTCAAAGTGAACTTACCTGGGCAACTAGTACCCAGATCAAGAAACAGAACATCATCAGCATTCCAGGACACCAATATCCTGGAAGGCAACCATGGTCCTGACTTCTAAAACCAGAGAATCCTTTATCTTGTTTTTTAATTTTATATAAAAGAAATCATAGAATATTTTGTGCCTTTTTTCTTTCGCTCAACATTAAGGTATATAATTTTCTATTTGTAGATACACCATTCTATTGCTGAAGGGTCATTTGAGTTGTTTCCAGACTTTGACTTTTCAAATCGTGTTGCTGGGAACATTATGGAGCATGCCTTTTGGTGACACAGCCAAGCTTCTTAAAAGAACTGTCGGGCTTCCCTGGTGGCGCAGTGGTTTAGAGTCCACCTGCCGATGCAGGGGACGTGGGTTCGTGCCCTGGTCCAGGAAGATCCCACGTGCCGCAGAGCGGCTGGGGCCATGAGCCATGGCCGCTGAGCCTGCGCGTCTGGAGCCTGTGCTCCGCAACGGGAGAGGCCACAACAGTGAGAGGACCACGTACCGCAAAATAAAAAAGAATTGTCCACACTTGCTGAGTTGACATCCTTACCTCCCACCCACTCCTCAGTCCACCATAATCAGTTTCTGCTTCCAACCTCCCCTGTCCCAGGAGCACCAGCAGGTGTTTTTGTGGCAGCATCCTATGGATACAGCTTAGCCACTGACAATGCTGACAGGTTCTATTCTCCTCTAGCTTCTCTGGCTGCTCCTGCTCAGCCTTTATTTGGAACTCCTACCCCCATCATTCCTCTCCTGCCAGGATTCCCAGGCCCTGCAACCAGACCTCTCTTTTCCTCAGTCGACTCTCCCTCAAAGAAACATTTTCTTTCTTGCTGCTGGTCCTCTGCACATGCTGTTCCCTCTGCTGAGAATGCCCTTCCTCCTCTTCTCCTCCAGCTGCCAATCCTTCAAGACTCTGCTTAGATTTGGAATCCTTTCTGTCCCGCTGTCCTGACCTCTTGGTGGCCTAGCACTCCATGCACCCTGGGATGCAGACCCTTGAGGCAGTGAACTGCCTCATGACATAAGCTGTGTGCTCATGAGGGCAGGGCCATGTCTTGTCCATCCCTGTGTCCTCAGCCTCCCACACTAGGTCTGATGCATAGTGGATGCTCAATAAATGAGCTGAATGAATGAATCTACATAAATTAGAAAAAGAATGCTAAAAACCCATAGAGTAAGAAGGATATGTTTTAAAAGACCGCTGTAGGGACTTCCCTGGTGGTCCAGTGGTAAAGAATCTGCCTTACAATGCAGGGCACGTGGGTTCAATCCCACATGCCGCATGGCAACTAAGCCCACGTGCCCTGGAGTCTGTGCGCCACAACTAGAGAAGAGAAAAACGCATACCACAACTAAAGAGGAGACTGTGCACCACAATGAAAGATCCTGCATGCCTCAACTAAGATCCAATGCAGCCCAAAATATATAAAATAAATAAACAAATAAGAAATAAATAAATAATAAAATAAAAGACCACCGTATTTTCTTCTTTAGGAAGGGAGGGTAGCACATGAACGCATAAAGATACATCTGAACTATCATTCATGGGGCCCAAGTCCCCAGACTGGGCTACGTTATACCCACAAATTATCTTTTATTTGGAGAGGGCAGCTTGATTTCAGTCCAGCTGATGGTTATTCTGAAACGAACAACCAACCACACACCCACCCATTAGCCATCCCTGAGTACAGACAAACCCCAAGCTCTCACCTCCTCCAGGGCCTTCTTGGCCTAACTAGTGGCTCCAAAGCACTGGCTTATTCTGGGAATTTCCACAGATGTTTCCATCACACATCAAGAGAAAAATCTTCCCAGAATGATTCCACCAGAATCATGATTCAAATGTCAGATTCAGATCATATTTTCCATCTTTCCTCATTGAAAGAACGATGTGGCTCTTGATGAAGCTGAGGCCAGGACACTTATCATGGAAGGGAAGCTGTATCCACAGCTGTGATGTGCTGGACAAGAGGATGGCTACCAGAGGCACAGCACAGGCTTAGGCTAATGCCAAGGAAATCCACACGTGTAGCCAAGCAGGGTAACGTCAGGTAAGAGGCCTGCTCACTCCCCCAGCTCCGCCCTGGCACCAGCCACACCTCTGGAGTGGGAGGTTTGGGCACCGGATCACAACCTGTTTTCTAGCCTCCATACATTCTGCTTCCACCACATAGAGCCTGGGCAGGATGGCTCAGCTTCCAACTGTGACTCCATGGTCTGAAAAAGCACTGGACATGAGGCCTGCCCTCTGCAGCCAGGCAACAACACATTTCTGCATCATCAAGCTCTTTTCCAGATACAGGGGCAGCATCTGTGACTAACTGACTCAGAAGATGTGGCACCTATATACAATGGAATATGTAAAACCAATAGCTAGTGGGAAGCAGCCGCATAGCACAGGGAGATCAGCTTGGTGCTTTGTGACCACTTAGATGGGTGGGATAGGGAGGGTGGGAGGGAGGGAGACGCAAGAGGGAAGAGATATGGGAACAGACGTACAACTAATTCACTTTGTTATAAAGCAGAAACTAACACACCATTGTAAAGCAATTATACTCCAATAAAGATGTTAAAAAAAAAAAAAAGCCAGGGGGCACTCTTGAACAGCAAGGGTCCAAAGCTAAAGGCCGCGGTAGTGACCTGCCCCCAAACCCAGGGTGGAGGGACATGTCACCAAAATTTCACGTTGTGAAACTCTTGACAAAAAGCAACAAAAACCTGAAGGGCATTTTTGAATTCTGGGCTGGCTCTGGATGTCAGCTCCTGGAAAGCAAAGGCTGTGTTATTTCTCTCCTGACAGGGTTTAGCAGTCAGGTGGAAATTCTCAGACCCCCTTGAGTTAATGGCAAAAACCCACTTTGATTCAATAACATCACGTTTATCGTGATCTACCCACAAGGATTATCCTGCCTGCGGGGCTTGGTCAAGGATCTGCCAACTGCCGTGGAGGCTCCATCTGTGGAAGGCGTGGGGAACTCCAGGTCACCGCCCCATCAAGAGCTATCATCAAGGCAGGCCAGCCCTAGGTCTGGAAAAGAGGCTGGAACCTTCTTGCCCCTTCAGGCCAAGGGCAAGTGACTTCCCGAGTCATCAGATGAGATGGAGAGGCAGCAGTGGGGAGAGCACTGGGTTGTGAAATGGAAGAACAGGGCACAAGCCCTCTGCCTCCAATTGCTGCTGGTGCCCCCTTGGATAGTCTCCACCCTGCCTGCCTCACAGGTCGTGCTGAGGCCCCAGTGACACAGTGATAGGGTGAACGGGCCACTGCAGGCTGCAAAGTACTGTGCCTGTAGCCATGGTCCTCAGGTGCGTTCTGCCTCCCCCAGGAAGCCTTCCTTGCTGTTTGCACTGACACTGATGCACATGTTCCTCTATCAGCACTGGGCATGGACTGCGTCATTTTCTCTCCCTGACAGCCTTGCCCACGGCATAGATCATCTGTGCAGATGATCTTGCCCCAGATCATCTGCACTGCCCTTTCACACTTTCCCACCTCCAACTTGGCACCTTTAACCACCCAGGTAAGAAACTGGGGACAGGGACTTCCCTGGTGGTCCAGCAGTTAAGACTTCGTGCTCCCAATGCAGGGGGCCTGGGTTCTATCCCTGGTCAGGGAACTAGATCCCTCATGCTGCAACTGAAGATCCCACGTGCCGCAACTAAGATCCAGCACAGCCAAATAAATAAATATTAAAAAAAGAAAGAAAGAAAGAAAGAAAGAAACTGGGGACAGTGGTGGCAGGGGGGTTAAGGGACCGGCTCATGGCCCCCTAGCAAGTGGTGGAGGTGGGACTCAAAACCAGGCTCTCAGACACCAAATCCCACACTCCTTCCCCAGTCCCCGACACAAAGTCCAGGCAGGGGCAGGAAAACAGAGGAGTGAGAGCCCCTCCTCAGAGTAATGACGTGACCCAGCTGCCCAGCCCACCTCTGGCCCCAGCTCCAGGAAGTCTGTAGCACCCCCCCCCCCGCAGACACCCCCAGTCCACACCGTCCATTCACATCCAGCCACCCCATGTTGCCTCGTGTTGGCCACTGGGAGCAGCAGGAAGGACCCAGCATCTGGAGCCAGAAACAGGACAAGGCTCAGCCCATCCCACAGAGGGCGCCGGAGACGTCTTAGTCACCCTGCCAAAGCTGCCAGGGAAGGGTGCAGGTGGCCCTGGCTGGTGGGCTAGGAGCCTCTGCTTACCTGTCGTGCCACTTGTGAAACACACAATGGAGAGGTCACTGGGTTTCGGGGGCTGCAGAGGTGAGAAGAGAAGTGTGTTAAAGAGACCCAGTGTGCCCAGCCTGGGCCCCTCCACCAGCCAGCCCCTCTGTGCACACTCCCGTGTGTGCACTGTGTGAGGGTGCAGGCATGTGTCGGTATGTGTGCATGGCCCTGCATGCTGTCATTGGAAAGGTGAGCAGGCAAGTCCCCAGGGAAGAGGAAGAAAAACCAAGGAAACCTAACCGGACATGGACGTCGATCTGTCCCACCAACCTCACACCTGGTCCTGCTGCCTCACCTACTTGAGGCTGAGCTGAATTCTAATGGGATTGGGTTGCAGTGGCCATACCTAGGCCTCTATCAAAGATCCCATCATTCTAGGGAATGTGACCCACTTCCCCCTTCCTTCCCACTTTCTCCCAAGTGTCTGGGTTTAGGCTTGGGAACAGGAAATGTAACCCAAGAACTGAGCTGCCCACTCTGTCACTAAGATTGCTCTGCATCAGGCCCTTGCCCTGGCACTGTGCACATAGTCCTGGGGTCACTAGGAGGAGCCCACCATGACCACTTGCATGTAGAGGATGGCTTCCCGGAGGAGGTGACATGAGTTGAGACTGAAGGACAAGCAAGATCTCTCCAGATGAAGTGACGGTGGGCATTCTGGGAGAGGAACTAGCCTGGGCACTGTCAGAGGCACAAGAGACGGCATGCTGCGGGGCCAGAGAGCAGCTCTCTAAGGCTGGGGCACAGTGTGTGGAGGTGGGGACACACCAGGGGCTACTCATGGTGTAGGGCCCTGGGAAGCAGGGATTGACCTGCTGAGGCCTGTGTGTGAGAAAGCTCACAGGCTGGTGAGAGTGGGAAGAGCTGAGCTGCAGAGGGAGCTGGAGGCGAGAGGCCGGGTTAGAAAGCTCACAGCCCCTACAAGGCCCTCCCAGGGGCTGTGACCCTCCCTGGTGACTAGAGCCCAGGGAGGATCACTCGGGGATGACACACAGAAAAGTTCAGAGAGCAAAGATGAACAAAGACAGCAGATGCCACAAGGGGTCCACTTCCGAGTCTGTTGCTGCTCCTATCTATCCCATCCTCGGGAGAGACTGCTATATCGAAAGGGAAAACATAAGACCTCCCAAAGAAAAAGTTACTGGAGACCCAAGGGTGTCCAGGATTGGCTGCCCTTTTTTCTCCCTCCCAATGTCTGACTCCCGTTCCAGGTCGTCCTGGGTGCCCCAAGGGGACATTTCCTGAGTTGCTTATTAACACAGGGCTGCTACTCTGGCCCCTGTACCAAGCCTTGTGCACAGCGAGGGAGTCTGTGAGGACGTGCCCAGGACACCATAGTGCTCAGTCAAAACCTGCTGGCAGATGAGCTTACCACAGGAACGTGGTGATTCCGCTGGCCACAGTCCTGGAAGAGGAAAACACTGTTTTTAAATGCTCGAGAGTTCTAATCAATCAAAATAAACAGCACAGTATGCCCTGTTCCCGCGGCAAGCCCAGAGTCCCAGACTCCCTGCCCAGATGTGGCCCATGCAGAGACACCACCTCAGCGGTCTCTCCTCAGATACACATCCAGGCCTTGGCCACCCACACATCACAGACAGCAGCCTGGGGCCCAGGAAGAGGCTAAGCACTGTGCACATGCACAAGTGGGAGACAGCCTGAGGGGCCCACGGTACGTCTAGACGCATGCTCAAGACACAGTGGCTAGGTGGCCCAGGCTTGCAACTAAGTGGTCAGGGCTGGAGGGGCAGATGGGGACTGCCAGCTTAGGTGTGGCCCCTAAAGCCATGGAGGGGCACAGGCCCTCCATGGCTGTGTGGGTACATTTAAGAGCAGACAGGGAGACAGGAGAAGAAATGGAGGGCCCACAGGCCTAGATCCAGAAGGGCACAGTGGGGGTCAGCTGCTACTGAGCAAAAGGCCTGAGGCCCCGGAGGATGTCCTGGGTCACTCCAGCAGGCCATAAGCTGCCACCAGCTTAATGTCTCTGCAGAGGCCACGCAAAGGAAAATTTGTTCTGCTGGCTGCTGGGGGTCTGGGACACAACTGCAAGAACCTCTCCAAGACTTCTGGACCTCAAGTTTACTACAGTCCTCAGGCTCAGACAGGCTGGCTGTTAGCTGGAAATGAGGAGGCTCCGGAGGCTGTGGGGGTAGCTCTGGGGCAGGCTGGCACCACCATCTACCTGTTGGTGCCTGTGTCACTAACTGTGCCAAATAACTGAGCCCATCTCAAAGAGGATGCCTGTGGGTACCAACCCCACTACCCACCACCAGCCCTTGTGAAGTCTGCCCTGTTTGAACCCTGACACATCCTGATGGCCCAAGACATCCATCCTAGGGCATAAGACGGGCAGATAACCGGCAGCTCTGGCTCAGTGGCCAACCAGCTGTGGCCAGGAAACAGCCCAGAAGCAGACCCTCACCTCCACAGCCTGCATGGACTTAATGACCACCCCGCAGTCTTGCCCTCTGTCTTTCAAAGCTTCCTCAAATGGTTCCATGAGGATGATCAGCTTGAGCCCTGGTGTCTCCTTCCTCTCCACGTGCTCCAGCAGAACCACAGCTTTCTGAGGTTTATCCACGATCACAGTGCTGATGTTGGCTGCAGGGACCACCAAGGAGAGTCAGGCTGTGCGGGCACAGGCTGTGACCGTGGGCAGCACACGCCAAGCAGTGGAACCATGGGCTGTGTGTGCCACATGATAAGCTTGTGTGTAAATAAATACGTACGACAAGCCATGTGGGACACGTATTGTGTCCGGAGGAAAGTGCACAGAGCCTGGATGGAGCCAAGGGCAGAAGACCAGGGAATCTCCCGGGGTAGATTCCAAGCATTCCTTTTCTTCAGGCTCAGCCCCCATTGTCCCTGGTCTGTTTGAGATATTTACCACCCCCCAGCATCTTCCTCAAGCTGAAGTGAACTCAGGGTTGGCAGCCTACGTGGAGGTTGGTACAGAGTCTCCTTCTTGGCAGCCCTACCCTGTGGAAGGAGCCTTTGGGTGAAGTCCAACTGGGGACAGCTGGACTCAGGAAGCCAACTCAAGGGCCAAAGTGGAAGCCCCCAGCGTTCTCTGAGAGCGGAAGCAAAGTACTTATTAGTGTCAAACAATCAGCATAAGCTGAAAAGGGCTGGGAGGAGGAGGTGGGGCTGCCTGCCAGGGGCAGGAGGGGGCAGCTGGGCTCACCTGTGTCAATGATGTAGCGGATTGCCCCTGGGCCCAGGGTGTCATAGAGCGGGACCACCACCATAGAGTATGTGTAGCAGGCAAGCTCTGCGATGATCCACTGTGGAGACACACAGGCTGGGGGGAAGGGGGAGCACAGAGCAGACAGCAGGGCTGCACTGCCCTCAGGCCTTAGGCACGGGGCTACCTGATCGGGGTCCTGTGCCGAAAGCGCTCCGCACAAGGCAAGGGATCCATAAAGCTGACCCGTTGAGCCTGCTCCCCCACGGTCTTCTAGACCTACTTGCCCCAGGGAATTACGGGACTCAAAATAACCCCAGGCCCACCTCCGGGGTTTGCATGGCCTTCTTCCCCAGATCCTTCTTCCCCCATGGCTCAGGGAGCCACTGTTTGGACAGCTAGGTAGGGTGTAGATGGAACTTGGCTGGAATGTGCAGCCCTGATGAGGGACAGAGCCAAGGGAGTGGGGGATGGCATGGACCAACGATCTCCAGTTTTCCTCTTGTCCCAGGCCCTAGAGACAGCGGGAGCAGGGCTGTTCTACGGTACCCAAGCTTGTGTTCCACTGATGCCTCTAAAACCAGTTAAGGCAGGTGCTCACCTCTGGTCGATTTTGTGCAAAAACGCCGATAAACTGATCTGTACATGGTTTACAATTGTGCTGGAGAAGTCCAGACCCTAGAAATTCAGCCCTGTCGGCCACCTGCACACAAACATGGGGCAGTGATGGGAAAGCAAGGACTCTTCAGCAGGGAAGGGAGATCCCCAGGTGGGATTTCTACGGTCTGAGGGAGCTCCCCAACTCCCTACTCAGTGATGCTGGAAGTCCTAAGAGGTTGCTGCCAGGAGTTTGGCAGACAGTGCAGGCAAGGAAAAAAATGACTCTCTGAGAGCCTCCAGGGTGCCCACAAGCCCCCCCACCAAGTGCCAGGTCTGTGTGGGTGGACAGGGTGGGGCCTGTCTTCTATTACTCACCTCCTGGTAGGACAGCCACTGATAAGGCTTCTTGGGATTCCTGAAGCCAAGACAGGGTCCATTCCCTACATAGAGATAAGCAGGCCTTGTGCCAGGGAGGAGGGCAGGGTGTGGGAGCCACTGAACCTGCCCATCAGACACCTGGATCAATATCCCATCCTGGGAGGTGGTCCATGGGCCAAATGAACTGCTCCCCAGCTGTCTGTCTAACCTGCTGAAGTCCAAGAAGGCCTAAAGTGCACAAGCATGGCATCTCCCCAGGGAGATCAGGAAGGCCCAGGAATGGGAACAGACACAGCGCTAGTTCCCACAATGACCTGTGTGATGCAGCCCCAAGAAGACATGGAGACCTGGGGCCCACTGGCCAGAGGTGGCAGTTTGCCTCTCTGTGACAACTCCCTTCACCCCACGCCATGGGTCACCCAGACATCTCGGAGGCTCAGGTTCAGAACCATGCCAGCCAGTAGCCTGCAAGTTCAAGGCTCACGAGGGGCTGCAAATAGGAGATATAGAATATGAGCAAAGAGACAGCTTAAGGTCAGCAGTTCTCAGGGCTGTAATAAAGCAGAGGTCAGCCCTTTGGCCTCAAAATGCAGCTACTCGTCTGACTGGGTGGCAGGAGGGCCAAGAATGGCTTCTCTCCTCTGAACCTGGGCATGACTCGCCTGCCATACCCCTGGAACCATGCTTGCTCACCCACACCCTTGCACGTGCTCAACCCCTGCCACAGCCCTTCCACACCCCCATGGCCCCTCTCACCTGAGATGCTAAGTCCACGGCGGAACACCTCATACATGGTCCTGGCATCGTCATAGTAGTGGGTGAGCAGTTGAGGGCCATCCCCTATCACGGATCGCCGGGCCCCACCACTGTCCTATGAGCCAAGCACAGGCCAGAGAAGCTGGCTGATGCAGGCAGGCAGGGGTATCAGGAGAGGGCACCAGCATGCACCAGGCTGTACATGGCTTGGATACACATCCGGGCCACATAGTTGGAGCTGGGACACACTCTGTGTGCACTCACACACATGGCCTACACGCACCTGGGCTGTACACACGCGCCTAGAGCCCATGCTCCGCAACAAGAGGAGCCACCGCAATGAGAAGCCCTTGCACTGCAACGAAGAGTAGCCCCCACTCGCCGCAACTAGAGAAAGCCCGGGTGCAACAAAGACCCAACGCAGCCAAAATAAATAAATTAATCAAATAAAGAAAGAAATAGAAAAAAATTTTTTTTTAAAAACAAAAGGGTTTACTGAGAAGAATGAGGAACAAGGAATGGCGGTTTCACCAGAGGCAACAGGGAGTGCAAACACATGGGGCAAGAGGCACCTGGGAGCCTGTAGGCAATTCATGCCACTCCAAGTGGTAAATGGAGGAGGCCAGAGAGGCTGCAGATCAAGGTGAGGAGTCTGAGCTTTAGGTTGAGGGCAATGGGGAGCAGGGAAGAATTTTAAGCCAGGGTGAGTGACATGATATGAATTGTTTCCTACCGTGTAGCACACAGAGTAAATGCTACCAGGCCCTCTATGATCTGGGCCCCTCTTTCCTCTCTCATCTCATTTCCTACCACTCTCTCCTTTCCTCCTTCACTATAGTCACTCCAGATTCCTACACTCCTGGGGGATGAAGCAAGGGAGGGCTCCATCCTCCCCAGGAAGGGAGGCCTTAGCTGTGTCCATGCCCTGTCCTCCCAGCCAGATCCATGAGGCGACTCACTCTGTGGCGCTCAACCTGACCCCATCCAGACCACTGTCACCTCCAGCCCAGAAGCCCCAGTTGCCTCCTCATGCCTGCCCCTGCCAAAGCCACAGCAAAAACTGGCCCTTTCTCTCCTACTACTGACAGCCTCAAATAAATCCAGGCTGTCCATCTCCAAGGGTCCCTGCCCAGTTAATGGGGCTTTGTCCTTGCTGGCCTCTCCAGATGAATTGTAACTGTAAGCTTACCAAAAATAATTCATCTGAGTGCTTTCTCTGCATCATCTCACCGAATCCTTATCATAACTTTAGGAAGCAGATACTCTTTTTATTGCCCACTTGACACATGAGGAAACTGAGGCTCAGAGAGTTAAGAAACAGCCGAAGACCATCAGGCTAGTAAGAGGCACGGCCAGCTTGCAAACCCACGGCTGCTGGTAACCACAGGCTACTGACGCATCCGCAGCCCCTCTCCACCTCCCAGCCACACCACATGAATTGCCATTTCCCAAAGGCACCAGGTGTGTTATCACACACTCTCACATCTGCACACATCATTCCCTCTGCTGGAAAAATGCCCTAAAGATCCCAGCCCTATCTTGACCTGAGCCCTCTCCCACCAGGCCAAACTCTGTCATGCTTTTGATCGGTACCTGCACGACATACCATCGAGAGCAAAAGCAAGGTGCTGCACAGTGTATGCGGTATGTTACCGTTTTAAAAGGTGAGCAGACATCTATACATTCGCTTGTGGACAACTGCTAACACAATTCTCAGGGGAAGAGAACTTAGAGGCAAGGGGAAGAAGGTGGAAGCTTTTCAGTCTAGGTCCTTTGGTTGCTTTTGAACTGTGTGACTATATTATCTATTCAAAATAAATGGAATTAAAGTTCTTTAAAAAGGCAAAATAAACTCCATAAACTTAAGAAAGAAATCTCACTGGTCCTTCTAGAGAGAGCCTGGAACACCCTTGTCCAGGCTGGGCCACCATCCCTTCTTCCCTCAGTGGCTCTACCTGTGAGTCTGTGTGCTCTGTGAGGGCAGGGCCCTGGGTGGGCTCAGCTCTGGGTCCCAGCTCCAGACCAGGGTTGGGCACAGGGAGAATCTGGGAGGGAATTTACCTGGTAGCCCCTTGAGCACATGCTTAGACCGCCTACTGAGGCAACTGTAAGCCAAGGCCCCCTACCCAAGAAGCAGGCAAACCAGAGGCACAGGGCAAAGCCAAGGTCAGTCTCTGCCCAGCCTTTAGTTACTGGGAGAGGCAGAAGGAGAATCTAGTAGGAGAGCCTGCCCAGGGCCACTTCTAGGCTTACTGGCTGGCTGCCGGGAGAAACGGAGATTCTCTGGGCCATTTGAGGTCAAATAAGCCATAAGTTTGGCTTCTTCCTTCAAGATGCCTGTCACCCGCCTACTACTTCCCACAGCCCCATTGCTCACACCCTGCTCACCTCCACCTCCTCTGACTGCATCAGGAGATTGCACGGTGGTTGCAAGGCCTTTGGCCGGTGAGTGAACCAGTAGGCGAGGATGGCAGCCAGTGCACCCATACTCACAAGGGTGGTGGCTGAGAGGCTGTGGAAAAACTGGCCCAAGTCGCCTAGCTCGGGCAGCCGCAGCATCCTCAGGATCTCCTGAGTCTGCATCTTCTCCAGAAGCGAGAGGATGAACTCTGCAGGAAACAAGAGGCAGGTGAAGGAGGAGCCCTGATAGGAGGCAAGGGAGCAGTCCTGGGCCTCTCCTCCCGTCTTGCGTCACAGGCAACACACTGATCTTGGCCAGGCCTCGAGTGAGTTGGGGTATACAGCCTCCTGGTGCAACACCGTGTATCCTGAAAGCTGGGTGCCTGGAAGGGCCTTTCCCAGTGACAGGCCAGAGAGCCCTTAGCAGTCACACCGGACAGTCACACATCCGGCCCAGTTTTCCTGAGAAACATACACTCAGGCCCTGGGCCCTGCCTGACACGTACTTCCACATCTTTCAGGAGTAGAGAGCGTGCTCTGACAGCTCTGGAGTTAACACCTCCTGAGCCCTAGGGCCCGGGTGTACTGCCTCTCCTGTGTGGTCATAGCATTTTGCTTATCCTTGCTCCTGCGACGTGGACTGGACAGAGGGGCGGCAGGTGTGCCTAGCACAGTGCCCAGAACGACGGGGGGTGAAGGGATGCAAACTCCTTCCACTCCACCTCGAAGCTGCCAGCACCAGGCTCTCACCCTAAGGGACCCAGAGAAAGCAAGGTGGCAGAGCCCACAGAACAGCCCTGACAGACACTTCCTGCCCTCGAGATCTGAGGACAATGACCTACTTGACAAGGGTCCAGTGGATGACACACAGCAGAGTCCCCTTAGGCCCACATCCTGGCCCACCATGGGCTCTCCTTGAAGAAAAGTTGTAGCCAAAGGCCTGCCAGCGCCAGAGGTAATGCTGGGGCCATCTTTCTGAGGAATAGCCGAGTTCCCAAGAGCAGCCAGGGTGAGGTCCGGGCACTGCTCTCTGACCCCAGACTGCACTGCAGCTCTGCACCACCACAGACCGAGACCCAAGAAGAAGAGCTAGCCCCACCATTAACTAGGCCTGTGTTGTCCTCCCTAGGATCCCATCTGCTAATGTCCAGAGGAAAAAGAGGTGCCAGAGGGGAGCAGGAGTTAAGCTGGTGGGAAGGGAAAGGAATGTAGGCTCGGAGACAAAGGGCTCAGCAAAGTGCTGTGTGCACTCCTAGGGGTAACGAGAATCCCTGGTGACATTGCATATGGTGGTCTGGGTGCCATGCTCACCCGCTGCAGTCCAAGTGGACAGAGTGAGCCTACAGGGGCACATGGGAGGATGCCCTGAGGTGGGCAGTGGGAGCTTTCCTGTGAGAAGCACTGGTGACTGAATTTGGTTCAAAGAGGGAAGTCCCCAAGTGCCACCATGTCCTCCTGTTAGCTGCTGAGTGAAGTAGTGTTGGCAGAACAGACATATGACCAGCTGGGCTCAGGGGTCTGCACCTTGCCTAGGACTGAGGAAGGGAGCCAGGGAGGGCCAGCTGGGGCCTTCTTGGTGTTACTGTCCACCCGAAGGGCCTAAAGCTAGAATTGCTGTATGACACCTATAGGTCTGCCAGCTCAATGAGGACTGTGTGGGCTCCAGGCTGACAGTCACTGGCTTTCCATCCCCAACCTTTGGGTGCATGGCTGTTGTTTCCCTTCTTGGGAAAGAATGAGAAACCCAACAACAGCTACTCTGCAGCCACGGGATATGAGCCAAACAGCAATTTTGAGAAGAGAGAAGAGATGTCTGCTGAACTCCCAGTAAGTGGCATTTATGCTGAACTGTAACATCACCACACCAAAAATAAGGCCAAGGCTGTGCAAAGCCATTGTAGAGAAAGCAGGCAAAGCTCCAGAGTTCAAGTCCCTTCTCCTTCACTTATGAGCTATGCTAGGTTGAGCATACCCCACTTCTTTAGACCTCTTCTTCCCCATCTTTAAAATGGGGACATTATCACTCAGGCATGTAAAGCTCCTCATACTGGATCTGGCATAGCTGGAGGCATGCTGGGACTAAAGAGATGGCTAGAAGTATGCCTGTCAGACCAAGGAGGCTGCTCAGTCCACGTAGGAATAACCACTGGACAGAGGTGGCCGAATCCAGGTAGTACAGGAGTTTATGCTCTACAGATGGCACGACAGGCTGTCTGAGTCCGGGGAACACTCATCAACCACCTACAGGCTCTGGGTGAGAGAAGTGAGCCCCCAGCCAGCCAGAGCATTCTCACTGAGTCCCTGAGCCGGAAATCCAGTTTTACCAGCGGCCTCCTTGAACTGGATCAGTTTTGAGGCCATCCCACAGGAACAAACCACTCCTGGCATATTGGTCAAATTAAGGTTCTGCATCAGCAGAGGGCAGGCTATGGACCGCAGTGAATTCACCAAGGAAAACTGCTCTGGGGAGGACGCTTGGCAGGAGGCCAGCTGGCTTTCCTGGGAGATTTACTTCCTTAAGCTGCAAATGGCAGACTAAGTCACAGCCAGGCCCATCAGCTAAATGACTCACTACATAGTGGAAAATCTAGATATGCCCACCAGCTCCTGGGGTGAGCTCTGAGAGCTGAATGAGGTTTCCTCTAATGGACTGAACTGACTCCATAGGCTAGGAAGCCAAGGCCCAAGAAGTCCTGGCTCAGCTCTAAGGCTCAAGTACGTGGTCCCAAAAGTTTTAGAGAAAACCCCAGAAGGATGCCTTACTACCACCAGTCCCCAGCCCTTGGCAGTTGCTCACAGGCCCTAAGCTACAGCCGAAAGTGGGTACTGGTTGCAATGCTGGGGTTGTCACAGAGCACAGACAAGAATGGCCAAGGCATCCACCCACCCACCCATCCACCTACCCATTCACCTAGCAGACCCTCATATGGCCTCTGCTCTGAGCTAGCTCAGTGCTGGGCACTGGGACAAGCCAGATGTGGGCCTGCCCGCAATCTTATGGGGGAAATACATGAGGCAGTGGGCAGTGCCGTGAGTGCAGTTTGGGCTGTGCATGGGGAACCAGAGAAGATGCCCAACTCAGGTATGGAGAGTCAGGGCAGGCTTCTGGCAGGAAGTGGTATTGATGCTGAGACTGAAGGATAAAGAGGAAAGGGTGTCCCAAGCAGAGGGAAGCAAATATGCAAAGGTTGGAGCTGAGGGAGACCATGCAGCACTTAGCAAACTAAATATTCTCTCAGGAAATAAAGTCTTGAGCCCATGAAATCTTGCACGAGGGTCAGTGCCACAAGTCTGAGGCTGGTTTCCCAGATGTGCAGAGCTTTCGGCCATCACCAAAGTATCAGTTTCCAGGAGAGGGAAGAAGAGAGCTTGCCTAAACTTCCTGAATTGCTAGTATGTGGGAGCCCATGCCTACACACTGCACTGCTCGATCCTCATGGCAGCTCCACGTACTCATTATAAGGTGAGGACATAGAGACTCCACTGAAGAAGTTACCTGCCATTCACAGGGACACAGTGAGCAAGCAGGGGAGCCAGGACTCGAGCCCCAGACGACTATGGCCTCTCAAACCACTGCCTTGTGTTGCATCGCAACCCTAACCCTTGCCTACACTGTACCATCCATACCCAAACCCATGCTCTCCTCTGCAGTAGTGCTGAACCCACAGAAAACCATCTTCAGGCCTGCTTAGAAGAGCCCAGGCAGGTTGCAGGGGGTAGGGGCCACCAGAGCCCGTAAGCAGGGATCAGCCAGTCAGGCCAGTCATTTGCTCTTCACCACACACACACCACAGGTGGGCTCCCTCCTGGCCTCACCTTATGAACTTGCCATCCTCCTATGGCTGGGTTCTCTTCCAGGAAGCCCACTCGCATAGGACGCTGGAGGGTGGTGGGAAAAGGGCTTGGCTACCCACTCCGCCTCAGGCTTCTATTTAGGTGCCCACCCCTAAGGAGGCGTCTGAAGTGACTGCAGCTCCTCTAGTCCTAAGGCTGAGCCTGTGCCCCTTCCTGGCTGGGCAGCAACCAGAGGGTGTCATTCTTACAGGCTTGCCAACCTCAGACAGTCACGGGTGCTTGCACATACCGTGAGATGCCCTTCAGACCGCCGGGAGCCACTGGAGTGGAGAGCTGCAAATTCAGGTCCTCTGAGGACATGGACCTCAGAGCCAGCCTGTGCCACCAGGCCTTTGGCTTGGGGCAGAGCAGAGCCTGGGCCTGGGAGTCTGGTCTTATCTCATTATTTCACAAGGCCTTGGTCTCTTCTGACCTCCTCTCCTTCTCTGTCCCTGGGGTCCCAGCCATGGCTACCTCCTTCCATGCCCCCAGGAGGCTCTCTTGGTTGCAGCAGCATGGGGCACAGGGGGCATGGGGGAGGGGGACAGCACCCAAGGGAATCAGTGGTGCTGGTGTTGCCAAGAAAGCGGCTAAGAGTGTTTGTAAATATTCACCTGGCAGGGGGACCCAGCCCTCAGCATTAACTAGCCTCCACTCCTCTAGCACATCCTATGCCTTCGCCTTGGGCATAGACCAGTTCAGAATACCAAGTGGTGGCACAGGCTGGTTCAGGGCACATGGAAGGTGGGTAGTGAGAAGCATAGCTGTCAAAACCCAGGAAGGGAGAGAATAGGAGGAAGGGGGCCCTGGTCAGAAGTATTTTGACTTCAAGGGGGCAGAAGCAGAGCCCCAGGGCACATTTCCAGTGGAGATGGCCCTGAGACCCATGGCTCCACTCCAAGAGCCCTCTGCTGGTCCAGCTTCCTGACTCTAGACCTTCACGATCTAGCAAGATGGTTCTATCAGGACTACTTCCTAAACACCTCCCAAACCTGACCACTCCTCTCCAGCCCCCTGGCCTGGCCACCACCAGCCACCACCAAGTGCTGCCCAGACTCCCACACCAATCTCCTCACAGGTCTCCTTGCTCTAACCAGTGTTTACACTGATACCAAAGTTATGTTCCTGATACACAGACATAACCATATCATGCCGCTGCTCAAAAACCTTATCTGGCTCCCTCCTACCTTAGGACAAAAATTCAAACTCATAATGCTGGCACTGAGACCCTCCATGATCCTCAGATTCTTCCCTCCCCTTAGAATCATACCAGCTTTGCTCTGTATCAGCCTGGAGGCAGGTGGGGGTCCTTGCAATGGGGTTCCAGGTCTATGCAAACTTCTGAGGGCTTCAGAAATGGGGAAGCACAAGGCAA